TTATTCTGGCCCAGCTTTAGCTCTGAGGCTTGGCTCCAGCTCTTAGGCCTCGGCTGCTGAAAGCAGGTATCTGGTTTGTTTGGGTTCTATAATCGAAACACTGTTTCAACTCCAGCTCTGAGGCTGGGCTGACTGAAAGCAGATTTCTGGGGTTTTGTTTAGCTTCTATATTTGTAACAATGTTTCAAACTGCAAGCTCAGAGGCCAGCAGCGGCAGGCGGGGAACGTTGGAGTCCTCCGTCACTGAAGCAAGCAAGCCTCCTGTTCGCTTCAAGCTGCCTGGCTGCCGGCCGCCATCTTGGCTGGCAGTTAATTTGCATATTGCCCTGATTAGCCAATGGGAAGGGTAGTGGAGTGACACCAATTTGCATGTTTCTCTTTTATTAGTGTAGATAGATAGATAGATAGATAGGCTTGCTTTTTGTTATGTGTAATCATTGAAATTCTAGGCTTGTCTTTTGCCAAGTTGAGGTGTATGTTGTGATGTGTTTCTGCTCTGTACCAACATTCATTTGTCCCAATACATTTGTTTTTTATTTTGTGATTTTATACTTTTTTCCAACAGTTTGTAGAATATTACTAATTGTCCAGAACTTATATTCTCTTAATTTCCAGCTATAAGGACAAAATAATATTTTTTCTATAAAGCTACTTTAAAATCACTTTCAATATATGTATTAATAACAGGCTTATATTATTTTTCCAAAAATTTATTTGTATAATTGGGATGCATCTTTACACAGCAGTACATTTTATACATTGGCAAATATGGTGTTTGCATTTCTTGTTAAAGACTTAGAATAATATTCATAGTTATAATTTTAATGTAGCATAGTAGTCTAGCATTTTAATTTGGGAACAGTTTTATTCAGTAAACTGTTCCCTAATGTTGGATATTTAGGTTGCTTCCAAGTTGTTGTTGTTTTCAATTTTTAATCATCCTGGCCTCCGCTACAGGTCAGAGTCATGTACACGGAACTTTTACGTATGTTGAAGTTATCTGTTAGAGCAGTATGATCTAACAGAGTAAGATAAAAGATCTAAGCATATTTTATTATTATTATACTTCTGGAACAAGAAGGGTATAAATGAATGTTTTAATTTTCACTAATTATATTGATATGCTTTTCCAGAAGGATAATACCAGTTTATAGTAACTAGTTACTGGTTTTACCACAACTCTATACATGTGGATGATTAAATTTTTTATTTCATTTACCTAGGGGTATTAATTTGCATTTCTGTAGGTATAGTAAGGATTAACATATTTCCATATAACCGGTTGTTTGTGTTTCTTCTTATACCGATTGTTTGTTTATATATAATTTGCCAGTTATGGAATTTGGATCAGAATGGAGATTCTTTTTTAATTGAAATAGCTAAAAAAAAAACACACACACATAAATTTTACCTTTACCTTTTAGGGGTCTTTTGAATTGTCTCCTCTCTCCTGCACAAGAAGACCAGGGGAGCCAAAAGCCATGTCCATGTTCACATAGTACACTTAACATTAATAATAGCTTGGTAAAACAGCTTCATATCTAACTGTGCAAGAGAAAGATAGCTGTTTAGACAGTGTTAAGTGGCTGAGAAACCTTCTGATTTAGGGAAGGAGAATCACAGGGCTTTGACTCTGCATTGTTTCTTCTTCAGTTATAAACTTTTAAAACAGTTCTTAGAATGTGGAAAACTGATATTAGTCTAATTTGGAAGCATTCAGTTATGTCTTGCTAGAAAGAAACCATTGGCAAAGGTTCTCCCAGAGCGTTTAATCCAGACAATTTTAATAATCATAGTTGATTTATTTTTGTTTTAAATCATAGTAAAGGAAAGTCATATATGCCTTTTGAAAATCTGGCCATTTCATTTCTTTCTTTAAAAAAATGTTTTTATTTATATCAGAGAGAGGAAGAGAGAAGGGGAGAAAGATAGAAACATCAATGATGACAGAATCATTGATTGGCTGCCTCTTGGGGATCGAGGCTGCAACCCAGGCATGTGCCCTGACCGGGAATTGAACCCGTGACCTTCCGGTGCAGGGGTCAACACTCAACCACTGCGCTATACCAACTGGGCTGGCCATTTCATTTCTACCTATGACAGCTTTTACCAATTATAGGCTATCTACTTAATGTTGATTAGTGAATCTAAATGTGTACCTGGTGAAGATTTTAAGAACTATTTTTCAGACAAGTGTCAAGAGGGAGGGACAGGAAGGAAAGTAGAAGGGAAGATATTTCACGTGAAAACATGATGTCTTTTTTAATGCTATGTTTTACTAATATATTACAGTGGGGCCTTGACTTACGAGTGTCCCGACTAACAAGTTTTTCGAGATACGAGCTGTCTCTCGGCCGATTTTTTGCTTTGAGTTGCAAGCTAAAATTCGGGTTACGAGCCAGCTTCACATACCCCACCGCTAGTTGGCGCAGCGAACATCACAGTGAACGCCACAACATCAGCCCAGCATCACGTGTCTCACTCGTTCACTGTTGATTTGACATACGAGTAATTTGAGTTACGAGCTCCGTCACGGAACGAATTAAACTCGTAAGTCAAGGCCCCACTGTACTTGATATTTTTAATTGGCCATTTCCCTTACCGTACCCTTCCCTCCTCGCCCCCCCCCCCCCCTTAACTAATTTACTCTCTTAACTTTATGACAGCTGAGTCAATAATATCTTACTGGGTGTTTTTATGAACCACCTAATAGATGGTTCTGTATTGCAGGCCTGAGGGTGCAGTCAGTGATTAAATGTAAGATTCTGTCCAGACATATGATACAGCCACATTAAACTGCTGCTGCCCACAGGCTGTTTGACAGCTGTCTGCCTCGATGTGGTATTTAAATCACTGCAAAGCATTAAATAGGAATACCAATTTGCAACCAAAACATTCTTCTGGAATGTGAGAAACTTCAGACCAAAAAATCTCTAGACATCCTTTTAAAGGTTTTTTGATGAGTAAATTGTAAATATTAGCACCACTAAGCTTGAAATAGTACCCCTTGAAATAGAAAAGTGAATATTCTCAAATGCCAGCCTGAATTCATGCCCACTGGCCAAATCTAACTTAAGCAACAAAATAAATGTGTTAATACCAGGTTACATCTCATTGAATAAAATAGGAATCTATGAGTTCATAAATAAATGAATAAATAGGGAAAAGGGAAAGCTCTTCCTTCAATACAAGCTCAGCTAATAAATGCAGATGGGATGATAGAAATAGATAATCACCATTGACAACCATTATAGGAAGATACTGCAGACAGGAGTCACTGGTAAGTGGTAGACTGGTAGTTGGAGGGTTGATGAAGGAGTAATAGGATATTGGTGCGATACTATGTACTTGTTTCAGCTCTCATGCTGTAAACAATGTTCTTTTCACAGTCTATTCAATAACACATTTCTTACCTTTTTGTTGATTTTGCTATTTAAAATGGCCCCCAGGCATAATGCTGCCTATCTAGTTTCCTAAGCACAAGAAGGCTGTAATGTGCCTTATGAAGAAAATACATGGTTAGAGGTTTCACTGAGGCATGAATGTATAGTGCTGTTAGCCACGAGTGCAATATTAATGAATCATTTATATGTCAAATGAAGTGCCTTTAAACAGAAACACAAATAAAACAAGGTTATTCATTGATCAGTTAAAGAAAATGTGACTAAAGACTTGCAGGAAACCAACTCTGCATTTTCCTTAGGATCAATGCTTCAGTATTTGCTAATTCAGTATTTTGGCACCTTTATAAAACATAACTTGCTGTGCATAACAAAAATCAAATGTCTGTCATGTGTGGTACTAACAGTGGTTGCCATTGGTTTTATTAATTTCACATCATATATAACAATGTTTTACACTTTTAAGTTGTGAAAGTGCATACATATGTATTTGTGAGTTATTTATACCATATTTTAAAGTATAAAAGGGCACTGAGAAGACTTTAACTTTGGTTGTTACTCTTGCTTTGGATTTCCTGGGGAGTCATCTTAAAGAATTTTGACTGGTCATTGTTTTATAGTGTCTTTATGGAAAGTACTAACTTCCAGAGCCCAACAGACTTATTCTGTATAGTTGTTAATGCTAATTGATTGGCTTTTGATACTTTTGAGTGAATGAGAAATATCTTACTAGAATTAATGGATGGAGGAGCTAATTGTACATACTTAGTATTTGAAAGGGTAAGTAACAAGGGAAGGAAAAGACTCAAATTGATTCAAAAGCAAAAAATAAGAGAAGATAATTGGTGTATTCTGCATCTTTCTTCTAATCTACCAGATATTAGACAAAACAAATTGGGGTCTTGTCTTTAAATAGAAAGCAGATGTGCTGAGCATATTCTTCAGATTTTTAAAAACTGCTTGTCTAGAAGAGGGTGTTTGGGGCTACTATATGGAACTTCAACTTTTGATTGAAGTCTCCTTGATACCAGGCACTTTACACTAGATTAATGCCAGGAAATCAATTTTCTCTCCTCTCACCTTTAGGCAAGTTATTATTCTCCTACTACAGAGTCACTTCTCATTTAGGTTTTTGGGAAACAGGAAAAAAAATTATTCTTTGAGACCAGTTGTTGGCTAAGATGGGCTTTTGGTTACTTGTCATTCAGTAACTATAAAATTGGATTAAAAAAAACACAACAGTTTTATTTCTTGTTTTATTTAATACAAATGTCTCTTCAGCCAGAAATCATTACTAATGGTTATTAGATATTTATTTTGCACTTTATAATCTTATAAAGTGATTTTTATCAGGTGTTTCTCACAGAAACCCTGAGTGGTAGGTGAAAATCATAATTTCATAGATGGGAAAACTGAGGGATAGAGAAGCTCTGAACCTTGCTCCCTGCTTAGAATCTTCAGACTCTGCTTTTCTGATTTGTATTGTAGGTTGTTTGGGTTTGAGTTTTTGTTTTCTTTTTTCCTTTTTTAAGGTCTTCTTATTCTACTGCTGTAAAGAATGATTTATACTTGACAACAGCTGATCTTTTTCTCCTACAGGGATATTCCAATGCCCTTAGTCAGCTCAGGAGTCGAGCACGGTAATTTGAGAGAGCTGGCATTCGCAAGAATGAAGGACCTGGGAATACAGGTAAGAGTCTGACTGTAACTGTTGAGATCAAAGTAATCTGGAATGCAAAAATACTTTTATATTCTCACAAGCTTAGGAGTTTGGTCAAAGAGCTTTCAAATATTGAAGGTATTCTTACTGTGTAACATGTTGAAGTTGAAGCTAGTGGTTGCAAAGGCTGCATCCCATCCCTTACACCCCTTCTGCTCCCTCCTCAAAGAGTGTAATTTTTTTTCTACCTACCCAGGTTGCCCACTATGGACTTAACTCACTTTTTGAAAAACATTTTTCTTTTGAAGTATTGAGTGTTCGATTCTTGACTAATAATTAGAGAAGTGTATGAGGATACGATGTTTGAAAAAACAAGGTTTACGTGCGTGAAGTAATTACCAGACAATGCTATTGCCACATACAACAGTCTCCTCATCCCACTCCACCCTCACATCTATTCAGTCAGTTTTCTGAAAAGTTTTCTCCATAGTAATTTGGCTAAGAGAATAAAATGCCTTGGGTAAGTCTTCAGACATGATACAAGGCCCTCAAAACGATGTCTTTCAAAGTGCAGTCCACGCTCACATTGTGCACGAGGACATTCACAGCCCCATCCCACACCTAGTGAACAGGTGTTTACTAAGCACTTCCTTTCTGCAGGCCCTGGAAGTACAAAGAGCACAAGAATCTGCAATTTAAATCTCTGTAGGTGACTCTTACTTAAAGTATTATGAGATTTAAACTCAGTGCCCTAGAAACTACTTCTTAGAACTGAACTGCTCAAGAGAAAAAGCCAGGAGTGGTGGTGGCCTGAGCTCCGGGTCCTGGGCTCTGCCTTCAGAGATTCTGGCTCACTAGGTGTGGGATGGGGCTGTGAATGTCCTCGTGCACAATGTGAGCATGGACTGCACTTTGAAAGACATCGTTTTGAGGGCCTTATCTCATGTTTGAAGACTTACCCAAGGCATTTTATTCTCTTAGCCAAATTACTATGGAGAAATCTTTTCAGAAAATTGTTTGTGCAGAGGAGAGTTTGTGAACATTATTGGCTTATTCTATCCTCCTACCCAAATTAAACGATTTTAAGTTCTAGAAAATCAGCTCACGTATTTGCAATAATTAATAAACCAAACAGGATTGTAGGTCTATTCTGCTTCCCATTCAGCTGTTCTTTATTTCCACCTCCTCTCTCTCTTGAAAATACCACTAAGAGTGACTGTCCTGGCCTGGTTATCCTGATAACCTTATCATCCACCCATTGTCTTTAGCCCAGTGCCCTCATAAACCTTGATAGCCTCTCAGTAACTGGGGTTGAGTCTAAAGACTAGAATTCAGTCATAGCCAAAAGACATCTAGCTCACAGAGGCAATGTCTATACCAGCAATTAAGCAAATACCAATCTCTTTTAAAAAAGCATTCCCCACTCCCGCAAAAAAAACACCCAGAAGCATGCAGGCGATCATTGAGGTCATGTGAATATAATACATTTACATGCAAGTTACTATATAGAACTGCTGTAGTTAAAAGACAACATATAAAGGTAATAGACTTATAATTACAGAGACTTGTCATCCTTGTTTGCTATACAGTTTTTGAGTTCATGGAATCCACATTAGCAAAGTATTATTGTCTTGAACTGGTTCCTGGGGCATGCAGCTTTTAGTGTTTCTTATGGAATTTTGCCCATATCTAGCAATCCTTCGTAAATACACTGTTGGTGGTTTAGCTTGCATGAATGACATCATCAAATTTCCTAGGGTGATCTTCCTCACTGGTAGAAAATGTTAGAATCCTGGAAATAAGTTTTACAGTTTATTCTGTAGGGAAATATGCCGTAAGACCTATAACTGAATACTTTATGGATTTGTAATTATAAATGTCAGGCCATGGAGTGTGTGGAATAGAAGTGAGAGTTGCATCATAGATGCTTGGCCGTGCAGACCAGACATTGCATCCATATCTGCCGGCAACTCCGTGCCTCCCTGGGACACTAGAGCAGTGATGGCAAACCTATGACACGCGTGATTTTTTTGGTTGATTTTTCTTTGTTTAATGGCATTTAAATATATAAAATAAATATCAAAAATATAAATCTTTGTTTTACTATGGTTGCAAATATCAAAAAATTTCTATATGTGACACGGCACCAGAATTAAGTTAGGGTTTTTCAAAATGCTGACACGCCAAGCTCAAAAGGTTCGCCATCACTGCACTAGAGCCATTTGTGACTGGAGTTCGGGTTATATAATAAATGAGTCTAGGTCCCTTTTTTATTTTATTTTTTAGAAAGTTTCCCCCCACCCCTTTTTTTCTTCTGTCCTTCCTCCCGCCCTCCCATCCTTTCTTCTGCAGTGCCCTTCTCTGCAAAACAAACAAACAACAATAACAACAACAAAAACAGCACTCTTCAGCATCCCTCTTTTTGACAAGATTTCCAAAGTGATACAGATATGATGATGCTAAAAATATTAACTGCCATAAAGTGGTGAGAGTTTTTAAAAGTTAGGAATTTGCTTTTTACTCTTCTATATAAATAGTTTTGGATTGCACTTTCAAATACAGTTATATCCCCTGGGTAAAACCGTTATCAGGTTTTAGAATGTATGTTCTTTACTTCCAATATTACATTATATATCGATCTTTTTTGAATTCTAAACTTATTTTTAAAGCCGTACTGTACTACACTAACTTCATACATTTTCATTCCATGGTTCCCATCCTCAGATTTATTAAAGATGGCTTCATTTTTTAGTGCAGTTCTTTTATCTCAATGTAAATTGTATCCAAACTTAATTTTGAGCCTGAGGTTTGTGGAGTGGTTTCAATAAAAATTGAATTAGTTACCAGTTTTATAATTGCTCCCTCATTCACTTTTTTTTTCTCCCCAGTGTCGAGATGTGAGAACCAGAGAGGTTGGGATTCAAGAAATTCATCACAAAGTACGGCCATATCAGGTTAGTTTCTTCATTTTATAGAGAGATTGGGTCCTGTTCATAAATCTTTTTTTGTCAAGCCTGAACCCACATCTTCTTACCAATGGATTGGGTCCTCAAAGTTAATGAGTAAACTACGAGCAAAGAGTAATTGTGGATCAGATACAGATGTCAAGCCAGGAAAGTGCCAAGTATGAGGGGATGAATTCTAGAAGAGCCAGGTTAGGGAAACCAGATCTGAACTTCATTCCAGGCCGGCACTGTGCAATAGAACTCTGCAGTGCTGGCGATGTTCTATAATCTGCCATCCAGTATGGCATCTGCCAAGTCACATGTAACCATTAAGCAGTTGAAAGATGGCTAGTGCAACTGAGGAACCGAGTTTTTACTTTTATTTAATTTTAATTCATTCAAATGTAAATAGCCACATGTGACTAGTGGCTATATTCAGGTAAAGCTGGATGGGATCTGCTCATCTCATTGTGTGTAACTGTTAAATTATTGCCCATTGGTGGTAATCAAATGAAAAGATCAGCCCTTACCAGCAGACAGGGGTTCCACAAAACTTGAGCCTGATGCCCACATGTATAGGTTTGGCTTTTCTGTGTATGTGTGTTGTTTCATATTGCTTATATTTATGCAAAGTACAAGGGCACTTGAACAATGAGTTGAATCAAAAGCTATGTAGATTGCTACCACAAAAGTCTCCTCCAAAAAACCCACTCTTTCAATGATTGAATTTTTCTTTAATGTATTAATCTCATAACTATGG